TGGTTCAAATATCTGACGGTGGTGATGAATATTGTTGTTGATGGTGTATATATATATATATACACACACACACATTCATCGCCACCGTCAGATATTTGAACCATCACCGAAAACACCCCTACTTCATCCGGTGTGCCACCATCACCTACTGCCATTTCTCATCTTGGTCTAAAAAGCCAAAAAAACCACATGAATCTCCGTTTACATCACCATCAAAACTTTATATTTCACAAAAATCCTCACATTCTTTGTATTTGTTATGTGGGTCATGATTGTCGTATGGTCAGAGAAGGTGACCTAACCGGAGCAAAGAAACAGAAAACACGCACACACTTTATGCATCGTCATCACCACCTGTTCGCATGAAACCCTAGAGACGTTATCACCACCTATTCGCCTGAAACCAAGCGCCTGAAAACCTTGTCGCCTTAGATATACACCATCGTCTTAGATCTTCGTCGTCGTCTTAGATCTACACCATCCTCAGCATCACCTGCGTAGATCGTATCAGGTATGTTAGCCCGTTGGTGGTATTCGGTGGAGCAACGATAGTAAGTAGTGAGAGAGGGTTGTTGGAGTCTAGAGGGGTGGTTGGAAGTTTGCCGACTTTATCATGTTTTCCGGTACGATAGAACTAGGGCCACCAACAGGTGCTCGAAATTGAGATGAGGGATGAAAGGTGTGGGTGACGGTTTGATGGCGTCACTTGAGGTGTCTTGGAGCGGTGGTGATCGGTGGTCTTCGGTGGAGCAGCTGTGAAAAGTGATGGGTGGGCATTGGGTGTAGGTTTTAGATAGATGAGATAATAGAGAAAAATGGTCATTTTAAAAGTGGTGGGGTATGTGATGGGCCCAAATAATTTATTAATATAATTTTAATTGATTAATAATAAATACATAACAAATAAATGAAAAAAGAAAATGATAATGGTAAAATAGTCTTTTTACGCAACTTTTTACGACATGAGGGACGGTTCGAGTTAATTTTTGAAAATAAGGACTAAACATACATTTTGGCATATATACAATTGGTGTAATTTATCCGAAAATATTTTGTTAAGTAAGACCCAAAAGAGTGATATTGAACTCCACAACATCCATCACCTTCATGAATATGTTGTTTGTCTTTTGTCTGCAAGTCTTTTTGGCTTATTCTGTCTGCGCCAAGCAGACCACGCGCAAACATTAGACTTCACAGATTTTTTGTTTTTTTGAAGACTACAAACTTAAAAAGGCATGCACGTCTTGTTCTTGGCGTAAATATAATATAGACCAAAATCTTCAAATATTTCCAAACATCTTCTAGCCTAAAAAACATATATATCATAGTTTATTTATTTATTTTTAACTTAGATTTATTCCAACGTTTTTTAAAATAAGCAATTTGGAAAAAAAAAAAATAAGTTACAATACTTAAAGAAACAAGGTTCGACAACACATTCAAGACTTTTGCAATAAATTTATAAATAAAAATTTAATTACAATAATGGTTGTTAGAACTGTTTATATAGATATGAAAAAAAATCGTAATATTATCTAATATTTTTTGTGCCAAATTTTATAAAATATTATTTAATGCAATATCATTCACTTCTTAGAATAACTATTTATGGATAGTTTTTAATTGATTTAATTGAAACGGTAAAATGAAAATTAAGAAATTTTTATTTAAAATCAAATGTTTTTTTCCATCCATTTTACGTGTTAAATTTTTTTATCCTTAATTACAATGTTTGATATATATTTGCGATCAAAGTTTGTTGATTTTTATCAAATATATACGTTAACTCGTAGTATTTTATTTTCATTTTTTATACAATAATACATAAAAATCGATCTATATTTGTTAATTATCTATTATAAAGTCATAAAATTAATGAAAAACTTTTTTAAGTTAAAAAAATTGGTTTAATTAGATTTTAGTTTATTCTAGCAGCATGTAGATGTTAAAAAACAAACAGACTTCTTTTTTCAGACTGCAAACGTTTGGTTCACCTCTTCTACTGACAGAGGTCTGCAGACTGCAGACATTTTGTCTTAAAAAAACAAATAACACCGAAATGTTTTTGCTGACGAAAGGAAAACGTAAAAGTATTATTATTATTATTATTATTATTATTAATATATATATATATATATATATATATATATATATATATATATATATATATATATATATATATATATATATATATATATATATATATATATATATATATATATATATATATATATATACAACGTGTCTGAGGAAGGCACAAAACCTCAACATGCCAAGTACCGGGCACAATATTGCTAATATCACATCACCATTGCCTATCTATTGCCACTCTTTCATATCACCATTTGCATTGTCAAATTTATACTCATACTGTATACTCATATTGAATATTAATTATAGATAAATTTTGCTTACGCAATTTTTATTTCTGTTTGATAACCACATAAGTAGGCTTGTGCCGGTTCTTCTATTTTAATGCAATTCATAAGAGCATCTCCAACCATTCTCATTTCCCCCCAAAAATAGAGTAAAAAATGGGATAAATAGTGTTTCATCTCCAACCATACTCAATTTTTTACCCTATTTTTACCCTAAAAAGTATATTCCCAGTATATTCTATTTTTCCAACTTATATAGATTGTCAATCATAGGGCTAATGGCATAAAAACCCTCATATTTGCACAAACTTGACGAATTTTCCCAAAGTTCAAATTTAGGTCCATTTTTGCCTTAAACTTGCATTTAATGTGTCGTTTTTGCCAAGTAGTCGGTTTCCCTTTAATCAACCGGTTAACACTTGCTTAGGTGGAAGATACGTGGCATTTATCATTTAATAACTCATTCACAGACATCCTCGTGTGCAATTGATCCCTTCGACCCCCAAAGTTAGTCACAGACTACAACGGAAAAATGAAAACTTCGTCTTTAAGATCAAACTTTAATGGTGGTACAAGAATGAGGGACACGAAGGTTATAAGATGCGACTGTGGTGATGTTTGTGGTGTATCAGTCTCACGAACACCTGATAACCCAGGACGAAAATTTTGGGGCTGCCCTAATTATCAGGTAAAAATCTATTTATTTTTGTACTAATTTCTCCTTAAAATTTTAGGGCTGCTCTAACTTCCGAAAGAGGAACGTATGTAATAGAACCCTAATTTTTTTTGTTGTAGGTGAAGGAGGCAACTATGGTTTTTTCAAATGGGTGGATGAAGAACTAGGTCAAAATATGGAGATGTGTCATACAGAGGAGATCAAGCCATTGTTAGAAGTGATTATAGGGTTGTTAGTGGTTATATCGCTGATGCTAGCAATAGTGGTTATTAAGATGTAGTTTTGTTGTTTTTCCTCTATTAGTAATATATTAAGGATAATCAAGAATTGTTACATCTTTGTAATGTTTTTTTTAACAGATGAATGTTACATGTTTGTAATGTATTAAGGGTATTAATGGTAATGTTATTAATGGTAGTTAATTGCTATCTCATGTATATGTTGCATGAATGGAAGTACAATGAAAGTACATTGCATCAAAGGAATTGTACTAAAATACCCTTGGTTACATTCACAATGAAAGTAAACTTAGCATGAATGGAATTGCACTAATATATTAAGGATATTAATGGTAATGTTATTAATGGTAGTTAATTGCTATCTCACTTTGCATACGGCAGAATGGTGCACTAATGGTATTAATGGAATTGCATGAATGAAATTGCACTAATGGTATTAAGGGAATTACATGAATGGAATTGCACTAACTTGCATACGGCTGAATGTTGCATGTTTGTAATGTATTAAGGGTATTAATGGTAATGTTATTAATGGTAGTTAATTGCTATCTCATGTATATTTTGCATGAATAGAAGTACAATGCAAGTACATTGCATAAAAGGAATTGTACTAAAATACCATTGGTTACATTCACAATGAAAGTAAACTTTACATGAATGGAATTGCTCTAACTTGCATAAAAGGAATTGCACTAACATGTACTAGAAAATAAAATAAAAACATCATGGTTACCATAATAGGGGGCATCCATTATAAACCTTAATATAAAGCATCCATTACATAAGTTTTTCTAGCATGTAGCAACCATCCATTTTGTATACCAAAACATGTACCCAAAAGCCTAAAATGTATCCAAAAAAGGCGAGCCATAATGTAACACTAAACAAATGGATGTATGCTGCAAGTAGTGGGTGTATATCAAAAAATAACCAAAAAGGGCTACCTATACAATTGCCCAATGATAACATCCCCACTTTTGCCCCCATACACCTAGGTAACTACTCAAAATCTACTGGATAGCTAGATGTGGAACCCCTTCCATCTTTGTCAAAACAAGTTTTCTTCAGCTTTTACAGGATGATCCTTTCTGAGGGCTTTCTTGTCCTTCTAGGTGGTACATTCCCTTCATCATCAACATCGTTTCCCTCTATATCTGCTGCATCATCCTTACCAGCACCAACACTATCACCTTCATCCTCAATATCACCATCACCCTCTCCATCATCCTCACCAACACCATCACCCTCTCCATCACCCTCACCAGCACCATCACCATCATCCTCACCATCACACACATCTGCTACTTCATCAGCATCATCACCCTCACCATCACCCTCATTTTCATCCACACCATCATTTATAAGACCATCACCTTCATTTCCTTCCATCACACCATCAACATATGGAATATCCTCAACTTCAATCACATCCTGTTAATAAAAATTTGAAAAATACTTATTAATAAAAGATATAAACATGTTTGTTACTAATTTTAGCAATTATAAAATGATGAAGTCAAATTAACCATCTTAACTGGTGGCATATCATCCAATTCAACTTGAAAACCTCTCATGCTCTCTATTTCAGCCATGCTATATCCTGCCCTAAGTAGGTCTGCTGCACTTTCTAGATCTAGCATCACCATCTCTGGGAGAACATCACTTGCACTTCCTTCAGTAAATTCAAGTTCAGGATTACCCTCATTCTCATATTGACTTACCTTTAAGAATAGCATCCATTGCATCTTCAACCTCATCAAGTGTTTTTGTTAGGTTAGGTTCAACATCCTCAACATCTTTGTCATCATTAGCATGAAGAATACTTCGAATAATATCATCCATTGCATCTTGGAATCCATCACCTTTCTGATAATTATCCTTTGGTTGGCTAATAGAAGCTTTAAAAGTGCACATCATATCAACCAAACCGCCATCATCAATATCTTCTTTGTCAAAAAAATCTTTCACTTGTTCCTCACATCCCCTACCTTCAACATGACCATATAAACCATCATGTTCATCAAGTAGAACTCTATCTTCCACAATGCCACCAACTTTTTTTATCCCCAACTTCTTTTTTTGCTTTTAACAGATTTAGAACCTGATGCTTGATTTGGGTCAGATTGGACCTTTTTCCTTAGCCTTCATTTCTTCTTTGGTGGCATAGGAACTACTTCCTACCTCTCAGACATATCACATGATGCTTGAATGGGTTCACATTGTTCCTTCCTTAGCCTTTCTTTCTTCTTTGGTGGCATAGGGATAGGCTCCCTGGTTGCATTCTTGCATCCCTTCTGGTTATGGCCATACTCAAAGCACTTACCACACCTTACAGTCCCTCATTTTCAGTTAAATGTTTCCTTCTATTGACCTTTGGCCTACCAGGCATTCTCCTTGACACTGGTGGCAAGGGCTTTATGAATTCAGTTTGAGGCCATAAATTTGAACCATTCACTGGACTAATGTTAGTAGAGTAGCACTTAAGGAATTGTTCCTTGGAAAACGTGTCGTCATTATACGCATCAGGTGTTTGATGGATATATTTGATGGTTACAATGACATGAACATATAGGATCCCAGCCAGATCCCATAACCTGCAGGTACAATGCCTTCCATCTAAATCCACCATGTAGCTATCACATCCTGTCCTTGCTTCAAACACATGTTGTTGACTATGAATTATTAACCAAAACCTACATCCACAAGTTACATGTTAAAGTGTTACCTAATGAAATTAAAACAAAAGTTACATGTTAAAGTGTTACCTCATGCTCTTCCCAAGAAGCTTCATCTTTTTTTAACATTGTTGGACATATACGGGTATTCCATTTAGTGATTTCCTTAATCATGTGATCAAACCTATCCACGATGTATATCGTTATTTCTTCAAGCATTGTAATCAATGGTTTTTTCCTAGCATCCACAATGATGGAGTTGAAGCACTCTAATATACCATTCTCTACTGCCTCACATGCATATCATGTACTTATGTAAGCTCTACACCATGTTTGGGGTTCTTTGGACATTAGATGCTCATATGCACCAGGATTGAGTTTTTTAATTGTGTCCTTGTGTCTCTTGAAATCACCTTCCACACAGCTCATAGCTGCAGCCCAAAACAACTCAACCCAGTGTAAGCTTTTCTAAAATTTGCATATATGTGTCGTGCACATTGCCTGTGCTCCACATGTGGCAATATATCTTTAACAGATTGCAACAAACCCTATACAAAAACCAACATACATGTAAGTATTTATAAGTAATTTGAAAAGGATTAATATGTTATAAAGAAACTTACTTTATGTTGATCTGATATAACTACCAAGCCCCTTCCATCAATAAGGTCTAGATCACCACTAAGTAGCTCAAGGAACCAAGTCCAGTTGGACTTATTTTCCACATCAACAACAGCCTATGCAATTGGATAAAACTAGTTGTTGGAATCTCTACCAATGGCTGTTAGCGGTTCACCCTTCACCTGCCCCTTTAGAAAGCACCCATCAAGCCCAATTACTCTCCTACATCCTCTTTTCCAGCTAACACTTAGTGCTTTGAAACAAATATAAAACCTGTGAAACTAATTCTTTCCATTTGGATTAGGTGTTACACCAACTTGACATGTGGACCTCGGGTTTGACCTTAACAATTCGTGGGTATAATCCCATATCCTTGCATCATGCTCAGTAAGTTTACCTTATATTAAATTTTTGGCCCATTTCCTTGCCCTATAGATACCACACATCTATACATTTGTCTGATGTCATCAATCATTTCCTAAAGTTTCATCTTTGACTTATTTGCAATTTCAGTCACATAATGTCTTCCAATCCATTCAGGGGACACAATGGATCCAAACTTAAACTGCCTAGAATATTTATGGTCACCATTCATAGCATTAATTACAATCATTTCCTGAAGTTTAACGTATGTAACGGAATTGGAGATTTTTCCAAACAACGTTAATTAGCCTACCACCTAAGCAAGTGGTAAACAGTTGATTAAAGGGAAACCGACTACTTGGCAAAAATGACACATTAAATGCAAGTTTAAGGCAAAAATGGACCTAAATTTGAGCTTTGGGCAAATCTGTCAATTTTGTGCAAATATGAGGGTTTTTATGCCATTAGCCCTCAATCACACTCTTCTACTAATTTGGTTTTAACAAATATATAATCTATCTTTTTTTAATTACAATACTATTAAATAAATAAGATTATATATATATAACACCCAATTATAAACTTTTGTAAAATACGTTATCTTATTTTAAAATTCCAATATGTATTTAAATTTTCATATGAATTTGATAAACAAAAAATAATATATATATATATATATATATATATATATATATATTTAATTAATATAATTTAATACATAATACAATATTATAAGTATTAAATATTACAATTAAATTATAATTAGTAAATAAAATAAACTAATAATATATAAATATATAAAAAGAGAGACTAAAACTAACAATTCAAAGTTCATCTCTATTTTGAGAGAAATGAATAGTATAACATAATTTGATGTTATACTATTGATTTCCTCTAAAATGTGAGAATAAATGGGGTAGAGTGAAAAATAAGGGAAGAAATGAAAGAAAAAAATTAAAAATAGAAATGGATTGGAGATACTCTAAAAAACTAATGTAAGAAACTTTGAATAAAAACGATTTCTCTTTCTTATACTCTTCGTTAATGTGATATTATTTTACTAGTTTATAACCCGTGGGAACCACGGTTATAAAATTAATCATACTTTTATAGTAAAAATTTAAAATTATTAATAAGTTATTTTAAATAAATTATTAATTTAAGAGATATTTTTATTAGTTATGTGAAATTATAATCATTGATTCAAATAAATATATAAAATTAATTTTTAATATATATATTAGATATTTTTTATTTGTCAATTAATGAAAACAATAATTTAAAATTTAAAATTTAAAATAAAATCTTATTAATGAGGAGTTCTAATAAATTTAAAATGGAAAACTAATAGATTAATAAGTAGCAATACATTAATTAAAATATCTAATATGATGACACATGGCAAAAAAGTTAGTCTTTTATTAGTATAAGGATTTCTTTATAGTCTTCGTTAATATGATATTATTTTATAAGATGTTGAAAGTGTAAATAAAGATGGCGTGTACTTGCAAATAAGATTAAAAAAACAACATAAACGAAGTTAACATTTTATCAACGATTTTTTAATGACAAACAAAATAAACTAGAAACTTTGAAGTTTAAAATGATTAAAAAAAACTTAATGACCCACGTTTTTTTCAACAATTTAATAATTAAAAAAAAAATTAAATACATTGCATACCAGTCCTATAATTTCATATATGTGAACATTTTATTTAATAACAATTCTTTCACTAATACAACATAAATAAATAATCACATGATGCAACATAAATAATCATACCAAAGTAATCACAGATTGACTTGTTCGTTAGAACATTTTTATATGCAGACTATTTTCAAGAATAAAAAAAATGAAACCAAATAGAACATTAATATTTACCCTATTTTGTCGACTTATCAAATATATGGTTGCCACGTGGCTTATGTGACATATACCATTTATTTTCACCGGCAACAACAACCATTCAGTCTAACCAAAATAAATAAATAAATAACTCAACCACGATTTTCCTCCTGAAATATAACATCATTCAGAAAACATCATAAAGAACCCGAACATATAAGCATCAAAGTCAAAACCATAAGTCAACCATAACCATTATGAGCATTGACCTCATAATCAAGAAACACAACACAAGCAAGTAAAGATAGCAAGTTCTCGACTTCAAGCTACTCAACATGAACCAAAAAAAAAAAAAAATAATAATAATAATAATAAAACATCACAAAATCAACGAGAACAAAGGCTCCCTCATGGATGCATTCTTAAGGATGTTTGATTTCAAGTTTAGTTGGTTAGAACTGGGCGAGCAACACGTGGCCTCACTGGAGTCTTTGAAGGACTCACCCTGTAAAATGAAAGTAAAAAAATAAACAAGGGCAAATTTGTAAAAAAAAAAAAAAGTTCGGACTTAATAGGAAAAAACTCTTTTTTCTGACTTTTCTTTATTAAGTCGTTCTTTCTGTATTATTTATATATATATAGCTTACCTGATTGGTTGTGCTCCTAAAGGTTGACCACAACAATCAAGCGCCAGAATTGCACTCTCTGCCTGCAATTGTTATCGACAATAAGATAATTAGCATGTGGTGAGTACGGCCAGCTGTTATACTGTGTTTGTCATGCATTCAGACTGTGTGGTTGTGACTGACGTCAATGAGACAAAAATTGTGACCGATGTAAATGTTACGCTTGACAATGACAAGTTATACTGTATTTGACATGCAGTAGACTGTGTGACAGTGATAGTGTCTGTAAAGTGTAAATGATGATGATGGGACCACAAACTACAACTTTTTTGCCCCACCCAAAAATGTGGAACAAGGACTTTACTTTTGATTTTGATTTGTTGATTGTGCAAAAGACATGAATACCCTCCTCAACAGAAAGTAGCCCACAAAAAAGCTTATGTCCCGAGTTACAAAAGCGGCCTAAAATTTTGAACTTACCATCACAAACTCAACAAAAGCAATGCGTGTGGAATGAACATTGTCCCCCAAAAGCCTCAAGCGAGAAACCTACACGCAAAATATTTCAAGAAAATTAACATATTTTAAAAAACAGATCTTAAATAAAATAAAATAAAATAAAAACTCTATTAACTATTGTTTTAACCTCGCCACATCTTGTTTCAAAGAAATTCTTGACCTCAGTTTGTGAAACCTTCTTGTCGATGTTTGTACAGTAAACTGTCCTTGCACACATCTCTCTTTCATCCTCCGACTAAAATCACAAAACATCAAAAAGAAAGATAAACAATAAAAAGAAAAGAAAAAGATATATTCAGAGTCCAAATTACATATGATTAAAGGGAAAGATGTCAAATACCCTAGGGAGGAAAGTTGGGTTCACAGGAAGGATGGCGGTTTTCGAGGGCAAAACGGTAATTTGCGAGAAACCAAGCATCGTACCACTAAGATTTAGCGCTAACCTTGCTGAGTCTACAACACATTGAAGAAAACATGTAATCTAAGTAAATGACTATT